GATCAGTTTGAGTGGTCCTCAGTGGTACATCATGGTACATCTGATTGGCTCAGATGGTGGTCTGAATGGCTCTCAGAAGGTGTGCCTGATTGGCCCTTGTTCAGTTCAGGGTAGTGACCTCACTGTTACTCCAGCACAGGGTCCCAGCTTATAAATGGAATTGTCACAATGTCACTGTGATGTCACTTGTGAAAGGGTTGTGTGGTGGCCTGGGGGAATTCTAGCTGATGTATTGCTGCTGCATAGAAAAACCACATGACCGCTATAGTGAGTTGGCAATTGGTGACCACAGCTGCTCTGAGCAGGAGGGATGTGCCCATAAACATGTCTGTAGAAGCACACCAAAACCCAGCTTTCATTTTCACCATCTCTAAAGACATATCAGTCACGAGGGGACAGCTGTCGTATTACGAAAAAAAAGTTCACTGCTGGGCTGACTGGAGCATCAGCAAGTTTCCTGCACGTTTTCCTGAGCGCTGATTAAATGCTGATTAATTTAGTTTAATGGCTGAGTAAGATAGTTCAGTTACATGGTGTGAAATGGACACTGTGTTCAGGACAGCAGCTAGGTGGTCTGGCCACTGCTATCTATCTATCTGTTGCCTCTGACCTTCATCAATGTCATTCAGCTCAACATGCCGCTAATGTTTTTTAAAAGGTCCCCAAGCTTATTCTAATGGTTTCAGACATAGATGTCTTAATATCATATTCTAAATGTTTCCTGTCTCTTCTTTCCTCGTTCTGTTTATGAGCCTCTAAAGCAGACGCTCATGCTGATACTGATCATATTGATACTGATCTGCAGTGATAGTCTAGAGGATGGTTTCTATAAACCGCTAAGTACAGCGCAGTGGTTACACCGAGTATACCTCAAATGTGTTACAGGGAACTGCATTAGACTCGCACACAAATTAAATGAGTCCCATGGAGGGCACACAGATGTCACTCAGGAGTCACACTGGAGTCACACGGATTTGACACCAGTGACATAGGAGTCATGCAGAAAGTCAAACAAGATTCATCCGGAATGTGACCCACATTTCTTATCAGATGGGATGTGGGTCCAAAGAGGGCTTGACCAAAGACACATGGTCAGCATCACGATTCAAGAGGAATTTATGCAGGGAATACTCATGGTATTCTCAGCATTTTAGCATTGAGAGTCTGCGCTTATCAAAGAGAGATTTTAAAATGACACTGCAAAAGCTCAACTATATCTCACTCCCCCACTGCACACACACCAATCTGGACATGTGAGATTTGCAAGAGACAAAAAAAGGAGAGAAAGAGAGAGACAGAGAATGAGAGGGAGGAAAAGGTGAACTTGACAGTGAACACTCCTAAACAGCAGGGTACAATCAAATGACCGCAGTCAATAAAAGCTTTTAATTAGGACTTTTATAATTAGCCACCAAAACAATTCACAGTTTCAAACCCATGTTTATAATTAAATACTAGTGTGACTCTCCACACAGGCAAAAATAAAATACCAGTTTACAATCAAATGTATTTGTGTATGTATTAGGTCATGCATTTATGCCCCTTTTTTTTTGGTTTTATGATTTTGTATGGAAGCACCAGCATTTAGCACCAGCATACCAGTGCAACTCCACGGGGCTCTGGGCGTGAGTTATGACCGCAACTAACAGCTGGCTGCAGCGGGAGCCGCGCTGTCATTACGGACCGTCGCTGGGAATGAAGAGACAGCGCCGCTATTCCCGCCGCGAGTCAGCCAGCCATAACTCAGCCGGTCACTCATGCGAGGCTGACCCCAGAACGTCCTCTCTTGCTGGGGAGGAGGAGGGGGAGGGGGGGAATGGGGGCGGGGGCTGAGGGGGGGGGGGCTGGATGATGGGGGATGGGGTGCTGCCGTGGCAACAGTCTCGGTTATGTAACTTTCCATGCAGCGGCGTAAACACTGTGCCTGATGCTGTGTGTGTAGAGGCTTTGCTTTACATGATTCGCCTCCCGTGTATGAAAAATTTGCTTGCACTGTATGGAAAAAATAACACATTTATTACCAGATTATCACAGATCTACAATGCTGCTGCCCAAGCTCCCATTGTTATAAGCTTAGGGTCTCTTTATGCGCATGATGAGGGGATTCTGCACAGACACACGCAGCTATTATCAGGTTCTGGGTGGAGCAGACACGGTGACAAGGGCTGTGTCCCGTTAAAGTCGCCAGGACCACAGTGGACGCCGCCGAAGCCTCCGTCTGCTGACTGGGGACTGAGCAGCTCCGTGTCACGCCCGGCGTGTGGGTGTTGCGAGAGGGGGCAGCGCTGGCCCGGGGTTCCTGCTCGCAGACCGCACCGGGCGGCAGCGGCCGGCCTCCTGGCGCTCTGACGCGTCGGGGCCCATTGTCCCGCGCCCCGGCGGCCGGGGCCAGCGCCTCGGACCGCCGCGGGGTTATTTATACACCCCGGCGTCACCCCCGGAGGCAGAAGTCAGCGGACGCCCCCGTGGTGCGTCTCCCTGTGAGACGTGGCTCTCTCCGTGGCCCTCTCCGCGGAGTGGCCTGGGCATTTTTAAAGCGCTTCTCCCTCTCACACAGGAATGCTGGCAGCGCGTGCAGGGACTGTCCAGCCCGGAGCCTGCGGTCAAAGCGCCACGGCGGAGGCAGAGGGACACGGCCGGCATGCCTCCCTCTCTCCCTCCTCTCTCTCTCTCTCTCAAAGGCATGGCAAGGCGGACAGCGGACACCTGCCGCTCCGAGGAGGAAGATTAGACATTCGGAGTTCCCCTTTATTTTAGCTCCTCGGTGAGCCAGCGCCGGACCCACACGGACCCTTGGGTTCCCGCTGGAGCCGGTGACAAACGAATGAAGCTGGGAGCCTCTCACCAGGCGCCAGTCTTTCCCGAGGGCACATCTGTGCTGAAACCATTTGCTGGGACACGGCTTGTAAAAAGAAACAACTTGGCTGCTTTCTGAATAGCCACCAGTGTTCAGACTGACAATTACCATCTCCCTTATGCATCCACTTGTATGCAGAGCCTGAAATTAATGTGCTTTTTTATTTTGGAAAAGAAGTCAATATGTGTTTAAAAATGCAAGACAAGTGTTATGTAGAACATTGACCCACATGCCAACTCAATGGTCCTCACATGGCTAATGTATAAGTACTCAGTACATTAAAGAGAGCAGGTTGCTTTGGCATTGGGGCCATTTTAGGCACCATTGAGGAGGTGGGTCTTTCACCTGCCTAGTTGTCTTTCACCTGAAATCTTGTTTTAATTTCCACACTGCGGTTCCTTAAATATATAAGACATGAATTTGTTTAATATATTAAATGTTGTTGTTTCGAAGCAGGCAAACAGAAGAGATACAACTGACTAATGATTCTGAAATAAAACGATTATATTTTTCCTGGTCTGAAACCTGGTCTGTAGTTGGGACATTTTTAAAATTTCTCTTCTGAGAATTTTTTAAATTCCTGAATTCTGATAGACATGAATGAAGTCAGCGAAGCTGTCTTCTCGCAAACATTTACTATTTCTGAACTCCATGGAAACCACAGACCGTGCAACCCATCCTGCACGTGGGAGAGAATAAGGTAAACGAAAACCTGGAGAGACTGGCATGTTACCGAAGAGGAGGGTATGACTTTTAAGATAGCATACAACTGTGCCCTAGGTTGCTGCAACAAAAAAGGATAAAATAGCTTTCCCATGGAGTTGTGCATGTGCAAAATTACTGTCCAGCTCCTGATGTCTGGACACTCACAAGGGCTCACGTGATTACATGACTGTCTCTGTCCGAATGTGTTTGTGCCTGTGTTACGAACTGCAGGCTGGTTTAAGCACAGCTGATACCTTGCTGTAGTGGTATCAGTGTAGCACGGTGGTTAGGAGCAGGACTTGTAAATGAAAGGTTGCTGGCTCGATTCCCTGTTGGGGTACTGCTGCTGTACCTTTGGGCAAGGTACTTAACCCAGAACTACCTCAGTAAACATCCAGCTGTATAAATAGATAACATGTAAAAAAAATCAGACCCTATGTAAGATGCTCTGGATAAGAGCATCTGCTAAAGGTCAATAATGTAATATGTAATGTAATATAGTGCTGTTCTAAACCGTGGGGATCTGGCTTTTCAAACACTGACGCCAACAACCCCCACCTCACACCCTGCAGGTTTACTTTGATAAGGTGCAAAGCAGTAACTAATTGTTTTTGTATTCCGAATCTTCATTTTCTGCCCGCGAAGACAGGAGCTTGGTTCCCGGGTGAGACAGACATATGCTTAATTAAATAAAGGACAGAAGGGCTAGATGGATGTGATAGGAGTCGACGCGATGTGAGTCACTGTCGGGGGGTGGGGGTGGGGGTGGGGGGATTGGGGGGGGGGGGCGGCGCGCTGAGAGCGGTCTCTGCTGTGACAGTGGGGTGCTGTCAAACGAACATTTTATAAATTGTTCATTTCCCCGCACATACTGACAAGCGACATCGCCGCAGTGTCAGAAAAGAACATCATCAAAGCGCAGCAGTGCCGGGTGTCAGGGAGAGGCAGGGCTTCCACAGACTTCTCCCTCTCACGCTGAAGAAATGACTCACTGCGTCTGTCAGTGTGTCCCACTGTCCGAATGAAAAAACGATCCCATGAGCATTTCATTTTAATTTTGGGGCAACAGTGTGTAGAGATACCGCACGAGCTTCATACTAAATTTAAAAATGATAGCTCTGTATGAAACATATAATAAACCATATCCATAAACCATATCTTTGCTGACAGATACCCATATCCGAATAAAACATGTGGTTCTAGCATTAAGTATTATGCCAGAGGGTTGGGAGACGGGCTGAGGCAGACAGAACAGTTACACCACCACTTCTCATAAAGATTATCAAGGTATTGTTCAGTTACCTCTGTGGGCATTACAAAGACACTTGTATCCAGAGTGACTTACATAGGTTACAGTTTTTTTAACAATGTTATCCATTTATACAACTGGATATTTACTGAGGCAGTTGTGGGTTAGGTACCTTGCCCAATGGTACAGCAGCAGTGCCCCGGTGGGGAATTGAACTGGCAACCTTTTGGTTATAAGTCCAGCTCCTTAACCACTATGCTACACTGCCGCCCTATGAGCAGACAGCCAATCACAGCCTTGCATGTACATATACATATATATACATTCCCTCACTTGTCTGTTGCCAGCCGTTGGTCTGCGGCAGTTGTCTCCAGACACATGTAAGGCTGGCGGAATGGTACAGGCCTACCACGTGGCTGGTTAGCAAAGCATCCCAGGCATGTCAGGTCACAAAGCAGCCTCCTCTCCTATATTCATTAGCAAAGTATTATGTTCAGAATAGCCTGACCTTTCCTCATTAGGGTGACAGAAATAGCTTGACCTTTCCTCATTAGAGTGATGTGTCACCGCTGAGCAAAAACCGTGCTTACCCACGCGTTGAGAAACCTGCTGCAGCAGGTTAAAAATAACGCATCTGCATCGTTTTCACGTTTCATTCTGAGAGGAGCCAAGAACAACCGTGAAGACGCCAAGATAACGAGGAAGAGTGAGCTTCCGCCGGTGAGCTGTGTGTTCATTTAAGCTGACAGTTACTGGGCTAGGCATTATCCTTCTGGAGAAGAAAAATCTGCTGCACACACCTGCCTCACTGAATTGCCACTCAATTCCAGAATTTCAGCAACTTCCAGTTATGTTCCTATGACACTTTACAGTCAAAGTTTTGGCTATACTAGACTAGAATAAAACAGAATCAGATTCTGTATGGTCCCCAATGCATGAATCACAATGTTGACAACACTTCAATGGTCTAAGGCAGAGACATTCAGATTGCAGGTCAGGTTTTCAAGGGAATCAGAATACTCAGTGTTAAAAAAAAAGATGTTTACATGCAGAAAGTGGCAGACAGTCTAAACAAGTTTTATTGTTTGGTTAAATGTGCAATTTATGCTGACATTAGAATGTATTTCACCACAGACAGAATGAATGCATGAATTACACAGCTTGCAGATATTTGCAGTGTGGTGCATGTCTGGGACACTTCAGTTCTAAACTGGACAGAGTGACAGAATCCCGCTAGATTTTATGTAAAATGACAAGACAAAATGGGTGACTTGTCTGTTGTCAATGTTTTTGCTTTCTTTTGTTTTGTTTTTTTTTCATGTTTTTACGTTCTCAACTTGTATTTTTGGAAGCATGCAATAATTGTAAAATATAAAATCTTTAAAATAAAAAAGTTAATGAGAACAATCAGTATGCACAGTCCTATCAAATACAATCACAGAAATTTTAACCTTAACACAACCAGAGGGGGTAGTGGAGGCAAACAACTAGGATTGATCAGCACTTACAACAGCAATTACAAGTATTTTGCACAGTTGATATTATGTTAGATTAAAAACATACAAAAGAAAAAGGAAATTGCTCCCAAAATTCCATTTCCCCCATCCCCCACCACACAAACATAACGTGAAAAAAACTAAAATATCCTGTTGTGACTTGAAAAGTTGGCTCGTCTCGCTGTTTATAAATGAAAGGCGCTATTGTAATCTTTTTTGCATCGTTAACCCCCCAACGACAACCGATCAAGGCGGAGAAACTCTTTAATTAGTAGTGTGCACATTTTCTTTATAAAGCTCACCGTAAACAGTGCTTGCTACCTATATGCATCTTAGCAACAGACAATTCAATTTCTGTTAAAACTGGCCAATGCAAAAGCCGATGTGACACAGTACCTGAGGCGAAGCTTACAACTCGGGAAAATATCTTTTCTCTTTAACGTAGATGCTGAATGAATTTTCAGCTGCTAACGTGGACCTTGGAACTAATCTTGATGGAAAACATTTTTTTCAGCTCGTTTCCACCATAACAGCTACTGCCCAAACAAGAGGCCAGTCTGCGCAGCGTAAGGTTGGATTAGCTCTTTGCTACGGGGAATCTGCATGGGAAAGCCCAGGCGGTAGTGAAGGGGCATAACGTGACCTGACAACAAGGAACCTCCGGGAAAACCGTCACTCCAAAACTATGTGCAAAAGGGAGGCAATGAAGGGGGACGTCGAGTAACGGCACCGCGTACAACACACGAGTTAAACTTTTCCGAGCCCCGCGCAAGTATCTCAAATCGGCAGAATACATCGTTGGATGATTTACGGATTCTGTGCTTCGGAATTGTGTTCAGATAAACCCCAGAACATTTGTTTTCCCGTTGGCGTGCGGACGTTGCGTACCTCCCTGGGTTGACACTCTGTGACTGGGAGGCGGAGACGGGACCCCCGTTGACGTCAGTGGGCCTGCCTGTTTCCTGCAATAGAAAGTGAGAGAGTGTAGAGAGAAAAAACAGACCTTTTCCCCTTTACCGTTAAGGATTGCCATCATATGAATAAAACGACAATAATTCAGAGCACACTCGTAAGTATGAATGTTTTAGGTTTACAAACGTTTTACTTTCGAATTCGGTGCAGCCGTTTTTGGGTGCATAGGGTGTGTGATTTTTGTATTGCTTGACGGGGCTCTCACGTAGCTAGCTGGCTAGCTACAACGGTTGTTGTCGGACGCTGTAGTGTTTCACTGTGAATATATGCATTGTTTAAGTGCTTTTTTCAACTGTTGTAGTATTCTGGACGCGGAACAAAATGAACTGCAGATCAAACCGCCGGGGCAAGGTTGTTTGGGGCTGCTAGATAACATCCGTGCGTGAGTTAGCAAGCTAGCTAATTGGCTACACGTAGACGACTGCTGCATCTCAGTGCAGTTCTTTATGTAGCCAGAAAAAAATAGATATATCGTTGCTAGCAACGTGTTGCTGTTGCTTATCCTCACGTTTGTTTGCGCATAGCTTTTTGTAGGGTAATTTATTTAGCGTTTAATCCAGGGGAAAAAAACGACGAGTGTGTAATTGGTTGAAGTTGTGTTGCAGGATTTGCGGATTGGGAAGTGCCTTCACGCGCCGTGTTGCAGAGGGGTTTTCCCCGGCTCCTCCCCCCCTTAACCGCGCGCGTTCATGTGACTTCAGAGGCACACAATGCGTGCGCTAATCCCGCATCTTTTTAAAACAACGCTCTCCATTGTCATGAAGGTCACTCTGCTGTCTTTGGTGCAGGGGACATGTGGCACCGGAGAAACTCTCCCGAATACGTTTGACGGCTCTGTCCTGCCAAGGCTACACACGCTGCAGACACGCCGTAAGCACGGCACAGCACATTACTCGGGAGGACACGCACGCCCATTGTATCGCACTGGCATTGTTTGATCGTAAATTCAGGATGTCAGAAAATATTTTGTTGGTAAGAGCAACGACAGCACACTAATGTGTCTATGTGCTTCGTAGCTGAACAAAAACGCTCGCTAAATGTTCATGTTGTGAATGTCATAGTGAAATGCATTGTTGACAATGCTCTGCACGGTTTCCATGGGTTTTGGCGTGGTCCCTCGTGCATTTTTGAGAACGCATGCAACATAAAATATTCTCTCTTCGTAGTGGTATTCTCATGCATTACGTGCCTATGTAATCATCACAGGTCGGTCAAATAAACCCGTGTGCCAGGTCTACGATGCCACCAGTCCGTCCTCGTGAGCTCTCCGACCAGGCTCGCGCGCTGTTGTGTCTGTGGGATGATGTCATTGCTTTAGCGCGCACATGTACCACTGCAAGGAAAAATCCTATAGATGTTCAAGTGACTGTTATGCAATGTTGGCTGGTGATATCATTTTCGGAAAATAGCCGAAAAATATGATGAAGCAGATATTGACGGTAAAAATCTAACGGTCTTTGATTATCCTTATGATGATGATGGTTGGTTTTACTGGCACCTAATAAAAACCTTGCAGTACTCCAATAAAAAAGGTTTTATTTATTTTTGTGTGGGCTGGTACTTAGCTCTGCTTCGTCTCTCTCTTTGTCTCTTCCTCTGCTGTCTGTGTGTGTCTCTCTCTACTTCTCGCTGTCCTTTGCATGTATTGGGTATTTTTAGTGGCAGTGTACAGTCGAGAGTTTTTGAGGCTCAGTTTATTGGGCATCCATCACATGACTTGTATGAGGGCAGCCAGGAGCTTTTCATCACTGTTTTTTCACTTGGTTTCACATTTACATAGTTTGACCAGTTACATTTTCCAGTAGAAAACTTGTGTAGTTTTTTTTCCATTGGGATACATAAAGGTTACATGAAAAATGGACATTATAATATCTGGATATTCTCTGCATTTGCAGAAAGATATTTACAGTTAAGACTGTCAAAAAAGCAGTGGAAAGGAAAGAAAAACATGACGGTCAGTAGATTTCAGCACTTAGTTTTGCTAATTAGAAGGGCGTGATATGTTGCACATGAAGTTTAAATGTGAAACTAAGTATTACATCAAATTAATGCTTACAGTTTTTATTTTTTTTTTCTTTTTAAGCAGGCAGATTCTGAAAGGTTGCGTATGGGCGTTGGGGTGCCTGAGTTCACCCTGTCACTGGCCGCAAGGGCAGTTGTTAAAGAGCTGTCATTTGCTTTGAAGCCAAAGCAAGGCTCTGCTCATCTGCTGTCAGAGGGCCATTTAAAAAGGAGAGCTTTTCTCACGCTGAGGTCAGAATGCCCTTTCAGAGGCTGCACGGTGCTGATGCGCTGATATGTTGAGTGTAAATTTGGTACATGGAAGATGAGTCAGACTGAAGCCTCTAGATGCAGCACATATCCCCCCCCGGTCTGCGAGGACCTGGCAGGCACGGGGCACGATTGGCCCTCTCCTCTCGCCGAACACCGCCTGTCGTCAGGAGGAAGGGCCGGGAACGCACCTGTCAATCACGGCTCACCAAAAACAGCAGCGGGGGGTGAGATCGGGGCGGACCTCGTGCTGCTGTTCCACTGGGCTTCACCTCACAAACCCTTCAGTGGTTAAACATGTGTGGAGCACAGCGCTGGAACCCCGTGTGACAGAGTCGTAGCGATGGTGGCGTTCCAGTCATCGCTCTGCAGGTTCTGAGTCTCTCTAGTGTTCGCTGTACAGTGATGGGGGAAGACGGTGATAAGTGGCCGATGTTCGTGGAGAGCCGAGTTCAGACCTGTGCCTAAAGCTGAGGTGCTCTGTTTTTTTCCCCCTCTCTGTTTGCAGATGATCCCTTGGTGTCCTGGC